TACGTTTCACGTATAACGTGATTGATTTGGAGTACTCCGTACCCACGCATGTTATTCATAGTGACGCATTCATACTTTCCCTGATCTGTTACATCGGATTCGATAATCTGCAAGGCACCTGAAACATAAAATGTGATATTCTCGAACAGCGTTCCTCTCGGGATTTTCTTGTCCAAAGAAAGATCAATGATGTGATCGCAGATCTCGTGTATGTCATGTCAAAATAGAGACAGTTTGAATTCAGCGTAATATGATTCTTGGAACAGACGTAAACAAGTATTGTGAAGTTTGAAGCGAGTCTCTCACAGGCATGCTTTAAAAACACGAGTTGTTTTCATTTTCAGCTAACGGACGACGCAGGCATTAACATTGATCGGCAAGGTGGGGGGTAACCGTGCCTTCCCGATTGTTTGTTTTCGTACGCTTATATATGACTCCGTGATTGCGGAAAGGACATTGCGCCTCGGGCCGACGAACGACGCGCATACCGCGACGCAGAGTAATCGGTTAATACGCGTTTCTTTGTCCCCGAATCTTACTTGCGCGAGTGTTAGAGCTAGAGTCAGTGTCGTCGCCAGTGCTACGATGGAGTATCCGGGGGTGCTGCGACGGAGTAACCAGAAGGAGGACGTCGGATCGAGAAGTCAGGATGGACAGAGGACTTGGAGCGCGCCGAGAGATGTGGACAGCGATACATCTTGTATGGTATTTGAGGTACCTCGAGTCATTATTATTACGCAGGATTTTTCTGATTTTAACGGACCTTACTCGAAGTAAGGACATACCCGAGTCGAAATTAGATCAGCATTCATAGTTTATCATCTGAAAAATAGCTTGAGATTTGATTATTCGTTAAATTAATTTCACGTAACATGAGTTCTACTTTTCTTTCCTCATAAAATATGAATGCCTATTCAAGCAAGGTTGCTGAGGCAAGCTAAGGTTTATGAATACAAATTTTTAATTATGTTCTCAATGAAAAATTGCACATAATTTAAAAAAACTATGAATAATGATCTTAGAATCTGATATAAATTTTACAAGTGTTGATTTTTATTCGTCTAATAATGCTCAGATTGCTGTTTTCGTTTAGAATCTGCTAGAATGTCCGTTTCTTATTCTTGTTTATCTTTCTTATTGTACCAAATCAGAATTAAAATCTCTATTAGTGAAACAGCATTATTAGACATAATCGTTGTCTTTTTGCAGCTTCAGCTCTTTTAAGAGCTACAATTCTCATCATTCTCATTAGAAAAAAGAAAAGAAAAAGAAAGAGAAGAAAAAAGGAAAAAAGAACTTTAAGAATGATGAGAATAAAAAGTGTTTTTCATCCCCCATTTCCTCTAATTCTTATATGATTATTTAATCCTTATATATTTATCTCACGCGCAGTTCTAACAAAGGCAGTTCTATTTACGTTTTTATCTTTGTTCTCTTTTTTGCGCTGTTAAGCGAATATATAATCAAAATCAACAAAAATTGCTCATTTAAATTAAGAATATAAGGATTAAGTACATATACATTATCGAAATAAACGAGTATTAAATAACTGCGGAATACGTCGCTGTTGAAGACTCATCATGGGCGAGACTGCGAGAGTAGCCAGATGTAACGTTCAGGTAAGACAAAGCTTGTTCACTATTGCGCATCTAGATATTCTGCAATGATTTTTCAAATTGGGTGCAATTTGCAGGATCAATGTAGAATTAATATTTCGACTCGGGAAAGACTCGGGAATGAGAACGAATTGTCATTGCACTTGGACAATCTTCTGACACTGATTTATGGTATTGATCGATATTCGATTTTCAGTACTGATTTACTCTTTCATTCCTCTACAAGAAAACAAAATTGATACGACTCGTTCATTTATCCGCGTTAATTTGATGAATACATTAAATATTGATCGGTCTTCAATTTTCGGTACTGATTTATTCTCTCATTTCTCTATAAGACAAGAAACATTGATACAAATCAATCGTTTACTCGTGTTAATTTGTTGAATAAGATTAAAGGGGTAAGTACCTGAAAAATGAGAACAAATTGTCATTGCACTTGGACAATTTTTTGACACTGATTTATGGTATTAATCGATATTCAATTTTCGGTACTGATTTACTCTTTCATTTCTCTATAAGAAAAAAAAATTCATACGAATCGTTCATTTATTCGCGTTAATTTGATGAAAAAATTCAATATTGATCGGTCTTCAATTTTCGATACTGACTGATTCTCAATTTAATCAATACAATTTTCTAACGCTGATTTATAGTATTAATCAATATCCGGTTTTCGATACTGATTTAGTCTTTGATTTCCCTATAAAAGAAAAAAAGATTGATATAAATTGTTCATTTATCCGCGTTAATTCGATGAAAAAATTAGATATTGAACGATCTTCGATTTTTGGTACTGATTTATTTTCTCATTGTTTTACAAGACAAAAAACTTGATACGAATCGTTCGTTTATCCGAGTTAATTTGTTGAATGAGATAAAGGGGTAAGTACCTGAAAAATGAGAACAAATTGTCATTGCACTTGGACAATTTTTTGACATTGATTTATGGTATTAATCGACATTCGATTTTTGGTACTGATTTACTCTTTCATTTCTCAATAAGAAAAAAAATTCATACGAAATGTTCATTTATCCGCGTTAATTTGATGAATAAATTAAATATTGATCGGTCTTCAATTTTCGGTACTGACTGATTCTTTAATTTCTTTATAACAGAATAAAAATTGAATACGAATCGTTCTTTTATCCGACTTAATTTGTTGAGTAAATTAGTGGGGTAAGTACCTGCAAGATGAAAACAACTTGTCATTGCACTTACACAATTTTCTAATGCTGATTTATAGTATTAATCAATATCCGGTTTCTGATACTGATTTAGTCTTTGGTTTCTCTATAAAAGAAAAAAAGACTGATACAAATTGTTCATTTATCCGCGTTAATTTGATGAAAAAATTAGATATTGAACGGTCTTCGATTTTCGGTACCGATTTATTTTCTCATTGTTTTACAAAACAAAAAAATTTATACGAATCGTTCGTTTATCCGAGTTAATTTGTTGAATGAGATTAGAGGGGTAAGTAAAATGAGAACAAATTGTCATTGCACTTGGACAATTTTTTGACACTGATTTATGGTATTAATCGACGTTCGATTTTTGGTACTGATTTACTCTTTCACTTCTCAATAAGAAAAAAAAATTCATACGAAACGTTCATTTATCCGCGTTAATTTGATGAATAAATTAAATATTGATCGGTCTTCAATTTTCGGTACTGACTGATTCTTTAATTTCTTTATAACAGAATAAAAATTGAATACGAATCGTTCTTTTATCCGACTTAATTTGTTGAGTAAATTAGTGGGGTAAGTACCTGCAAGATGAAAACAACTTGTCATTGCACTTAGACAATTTTTTAACGCTGATTTATAGTATTAATCAATATCCGGTTTTCGATACTGATTAGTCTTTGATTTCTGTATAAAAGAAAAAAGGATTGATACAAATTGTTCATTTATCCGCGTTAATTTGATGAAAAAATTAGATATTGAACGGTCTTTGATTTTCGGTATTGATTTATTTTCTCATTGTTTTACAAGACAAAAAAATTTATACGAATCGTTCGTTTATCCGAGTTAATTTGTTGAATGAGATTAGAGGGGTAAGTACCTGAAAAATGAAAACAAATTGTCATTGCACTTGGACAATTTTCTGACACTGATTTATGGTATTAATCGGTATTCGATTTTCGATACTGATTTACTCTTTCATTGCTCTATAAGAAAAGGAAAAATTGATACGAATCGTTCATTTATCCCCGTTAATTTGTTTTTTTTATTATGTATAAGTGGTCCATGGGACGATTAAATATTCGAATACATGTTGCCGTATCAAAGTCTCCTCTATAATAAACGATTTGACACGTCTGGGGACGCATGATGTATCGTTGCCCGCATCCCATTCCCTTCGTCCTACTTTTCTGTATAAAATGTCGAATTGAAACGTATTAAAAAGTATTGACATTTTGAATATGTCTGATTTCTGAATCTTTTTGATCCGAAGAAAAGGATTGAAAAGTATTAGTTTCCATTAAATTTTACTGCGCTAAATGCGAGACGGTCTCTTTCACCCGAGTGCCTCACCAGGGAAATTTCTCCGGTACGCTAAATCCCGTAAGGTCATCAGTCTTTGTAGTATATCTCGTCGGTGCATAAGGTTTATATTACCTGTGCATATATATTTTGAAACATTTTCTTTGGATATTATATCAAACGGATTTTGCGTGTCACGTAATATCCTTCGGACTACCGGACATTATTATTTTGATCAATTTGATTTCTTTGGTATTCATTGAATTATCCAGAACGCGCAACTGCCATGTTGAACGACTCAATTGTCGTGTGAAATGTTTCGATTTTCACAAATTCATATAAAATTTTTCATTTTTTACTGATTCACAGAAGTCTTTCACTTTTTATTAGTTCACGCTAGGGAAAAGATTCATGATCGCTGCCCTGAGCAACTGCAACGCTTTTCGAATCATCTATGTTGGCGCGCTTTTACTCCTCAGATTTCTGTCATTAATAATTATTGCGAATCTCGCAAAATGGTATGGGACTTTTATGTTTGTCTCAACCCAATCTACCCTCACACTTCGGGTTGGCAGCTAATTACCGGACACTTCGTATAATCTTCATGATATTAATCATACACAATATCACAATACGTCAATTCTTTTTTTTTTGCACATGTTAACATGTTAATTCATGTTATAAACGCGTAACAATGTGCGAGACCGTGCTTGTCAAATATGCTATTATAGTTGTAGCACGGACATAAACCGCTTAAAAATGGATGTAGCACGGACTGCCACCACATACAGGTTTTACCGCCGAAACCTGAATGTGGATGTAGCCTCGTAGTTCCCCTCTCAAAATGGATGCAGATGGCGGCCTTTCCCAGTGCGAAAAATCGGTGTCGTCGAAAACACCGTGTTGGCCGCTCTCACGTTCCTCTCTGCTTTTACACTTATTATCGTTCTTTTCTTCCCTTTCGTTTAAAAAAGAAATATTATGTATTTTTTGTTCTAAGTGCGAAAAGTGTAACAAAACAGTCCCTATCGGTGTCGTTTTGCTCGTTGCAGTTGACATCTCTCGTTACCGTCAAACCACGAAGAAAGAGGTTGAAGTTGAAGCATGGTCGTGTTGGCCTCCTCGCGATAATGTCGATGACATTCAACGGGATTTTCTCTTCAGTACTTTAGATATTATCAAGACTTTCACGCGAATGATGTAAACGCTCCTTCATGTTCCAAGCTATGAATGTCACGACTATATTTGTACCAACATAGCGGCATAGCTCGCGACGGATCAGCTTGTCGTAAGTGTGTTTAGGTTAGGTGAAATGAAGAATCTCATTCATAAAATTGACCGACTGACAGATGTTCAAGCGATGACAATGTTGCGACTCTCGTTCATTCGTACAAGTTTCTGCTTGATCGGCTGAAAATGGATACATTGATTCGAGTTGCCTTAAATCCGCGATCGATAGTTTGAACTGGGAAATGTCAATTTCCGACTATGAATTCGTAAGCCGAAATTAATGTAACCTTTCAGTCGTGCTGTCTAGAATCTTTTTTAACTTTCTCTTTTCCTTTTTCCGTACACTCCGAGCCTAATATAAAAAAAAAAATATAGCACATATATTTAGGTGGATAAACGGATTGAATTTGCAACAAGGAATTTCAATGAGGATTTGCGACGGGACGTTGAATGAAAATTCTTCCAACGGAAATCGCCACTCAAGTGATGAACGCGAATACGTTGAACTGAACTTCGAAATCATCAAGCAACGAGTGACATCACAGCGCGATTGCTCGATGTGCGATTTCAGGCACGAGCGCGTGTCCTTCGAGTTATAGGATAATTATCCGATGCTCATTCGCACGTAATGATCTAAATTGAGCAGTACGCGTCCGTTGCGTGATGTGATACGTCGTGCAGACAGCTGTATCACGCGCGCTCTTCGACTCGCATTCTCGAAGTGCGCGAGGATACATGCTTCGGTCACATTAAATCAGACGTTGCCCAAGGATCGCGCTCTCCTCGTTTTTTTTCTCTACCAGGAAACCACATCGGTGGAGACGTGCTCGCGCTGTTCCGGAGAATTCGGAACAAGGTCAAGAGTCAAGTTGCTGCCAACGGATCGGAAATTATCCTCGTTCACCCCTCCTGAGCGACGATTTTCGGCGGGACACTCGGCGATCTCTCGGCGATCTCTCGGCGATGTGGCCGATAGGCGCCAAATTCTTCCCACCATGAGAGACGATGTAACATCCGTATAGGCGTGCGTGATGCCCGACGACTCGTGACGTAGTTTTAACCGGCTTTTAACCAGAGCGAAGTTCAGAGCGAGTACGTATGCACATACGCGGAGTCCCGCAGAGTCACGCGAAATTCACCCGATTGCCCAATCGCAATGCAACATGCAAAGAAAGAAAAAAAAAGAGAAAAAACAGGAACGAAGGCTGGCGCAGTCTCACGTGTGCATTAGGCAATTGGCGCGTATCGTAACTTTTTTTTCTTATTTTGAAAGGTATCGCACTCGCACGCGTAGCCTGACAATTGGCACGGTTAACATTGCCGTCCTTGGTGAGCGCGTTTGTTTTCTGCCGCCGAGGCGAAGGCTGTCGGGCTTCCAACTACTTCGACTTACGACACGTGATAACTCTTGATGGACGATTTTATGCCTGGTACCACATTCGCACGAGCGGTACGTTCGGCGAAATCCACGAGACCGAAAGAGAAAGCCGAAAAACAAAGCAGCAGTAACGGAGAAAATCGCGCGAGTTTCTCCTCTTGTAGTCTCATTGGAGTCAGCGTCGACACTCGGGGAAAAATCGGCCGATGAACGGACTGCGAGGCGGTGACGATTGTTTCCCGTCGTCCACAAGAATATCTGGACGGAACATTCTTCGATGAAAAGTTCGAATTCGCGGTAGAGGAGAAATTAGGTACTTTGAGTTTTCCCGCCGCGGCTTCTTCGCGTATGTCCGCTCGCAACGTTGCAACCGTGACATTTGCAAGCGACTGAGCAAGCACAGCACCTTTGAGAGGAACTGCTGCTCACCGGCTAAACTCACAGGGACTTTCGCGGGGGTCGAAGACCGATAGGATGGCTTTTTCTAATCATGTACCGATTGTTTCTTTGATCAAGTGTTCGGGGAAGAGAAGAGAAAAAAAGATCAGCTTGTGCTTGATTGAATGGAGGTGTCGGTTTTGAGTTTGTCGCAAAGATGCTTACGAGCTCATCGAGCAACCCGATGTTGCAAGTTGTCAATGCGTTGTACGATGTAAACATAATACGTGAGAATATGCGAATGATAGCGAGTCGAAGCGAAGTACCGTAGCTTCTCCTCAGCGCAAATTGGTACATCTTGCCTGTCAGTTGACAGTCCGGGTACTCTCTCACGCTGACGTTGTTTCCGCGATTTCGTCATTGTTTCTTCATCCTAACCGCGCGGACTCGACGATGTGATACGTGTCCACGTATGACATATTTTACGGTCGAGATTGTTTCGTCGGCGCGCGCGCGGTCATTGGCGCGGCAGCGCGTATCAGTCGCGCTCGTGGCCGGCGGACGAGCGACGTTAACGTGTATTTTTCACGATCTCCGTAAAAAAGTGCGAAGGTTAATAGTGACTTTTACTCGAGCACGATGCAAGCTCGCGCGTTATCCGGCTATATAAGAGGCCGGACGAGCCGCGCGCGCTTTCAGTTTAGCCCGCCGGAATCGGCGAGCGATCGAGCGAGCGAGCGAGGGAGATTTGACTGTGTGCAGCGCTGTTTATACGACAGAAGGCAGCGACGGAATTTCGCACGAAGTAGCATGTATGGTAGTAGTTTATATGAAAATTAGAGTGAACTCGCGCGGACGAAAACAAACGCGCGTGTTCGACGAAGCCAGTTTAGCCGAATAGTTTCGCGGAGTTTCGCGCTCTGCCTCTTCGCCTTTCTCTCTCTCTCTCTCTCGCTCTTACGGTGAAAGTATCGGGACGCCGTTCTCTTCATCCGCCGGGACCGGTTATTGTCGCAGTTGTGGTTCCACGACTTCTTTCTTTCATCTGTGGTAACTAATAGCGCACCTAAGGACGCGTGATCCCGTGAACATCCCGGTAAACATCAAGACGTCTTGAGATCTTGAGATGTCTCAAGATGTCTTGGACGCGTTAATTAATAATCGTCTCGTGGAACTTGACCCAAGTGAGATATTGAAATTTGTATTTAGATCTGAAGATTTGAGTTTCTTATTTCGATCATGTAATACACGCGACATCTGTAAATGGGATCCGATTGCAAAACTTGCGTCTGACTCTAAACTCAAATCTGAATATTTATTTATTTATTGTGAAATAAATTTCCAGTGAAATAGTCGGATTTGAATGTACGGTTAAATCTGAGTTTCTGAATTGAATCGCATGATAGATTACGTTTATATAGTAGATATAGCAGTTTTTGACTTAGCGGTTTACACGCTTCTCCGTTTATTAAACGATTGCTAATCAGTCTATCGTAAAAACTTGCTGGAAGAACTGACGACGTTTAAACATGAAGCATTAAAGAAGCATGTTAAATCACTAGTGTCGATTAGCAGAAAATCTTACAACCATTGCAAAACCGCTGACAGCGCGGCGCAAAACGCTTACTAAGCTGCTTTTTCTGTTGAACATGACCATACATGTGATATAATCGCGATTCACGATCGCAACTCACACTTGATTCTGCTCTAAATTAAAATTTAAATGTCTCACTTGAGTATAGTATAGTAAAAACTATTGCAAACGCTAAGGACATCTTTGACACAATAATGCACCCTTAAGATAACAAGTTATATTCGAAAGACATTTATTGGATGCGTATGTTTGTGGGATAACACTTGTTCTTCTTTTTTTTATGGGAACATTGGCGATTGTGTTGCACTAATTATAAGCAATATTGGGCTTTCTAATAAGTATAACTTAGGATCGCTCAGGAGGAGAATTATATTTCCTTGCTAATTTGTTATATTTTTAGATTTAAGAAGGAAGAATTAAATCTTTTTTATGAAGCAATATATACGAAGGATCACGGATCAAATCGTTTCATTTCATCTGAAAATGCCTCGCGTTGTTACACAAGCCAGGCATAACAATAGCGAGTAATGTATTCGTTGCATATATATATATATGGAGAAGATTTACGTTTGAGTGATAACGTTGAATTATCATTCAAATACCGTCGCGACCTCTACGAAGTTGTGGCCGAATTGCTACGGACTAAGATAATATTTCTCACAACACTCGATTTGCGTGAAGTAACAACGACCAAATATTTCTCACACTAATATCATTTGATAATCGTGAAATCAGGATTAGAGAGATCTATTGGAGAGGCTGAGAGAGGTCCTTCGTATATCGTTTCTCCGTGAAACATTATTGCCCACACGCGGATTAAATTATTGCGATTAAAATATCCCACGATGAGCCTTATTAACTTGTCTTACCTTATTGAATACCAAGGATTTTACTAGTCTTTCTCTTCCTCGTAATAGCGATTCGATAGGAAAGAGGGAATGCTGGCGTTCACGACCGATCTCTTTCCATCGTGCGGGAAAATTACACTTCGATACATTGTCTCTCGCTATTCGAATTCCGTTATTACATCCCTCCGTGAGATTGTCTGAGTTTCGAGATTTTAATTTTCCAGGACGATGCTTATCCAGCAGAATACTTCGTTCCAAGTTATGCGCCGTTCATCAGCTTTAACACTTTGGCACTTGCGACAAATTTGCGTTAATCTCGAGAACTTTGTATCTCATTCTCTTGTTTGGCGGTCTGTCTGTTTTTTTTTCTCTTTACGTTTATAAGAAACCAGACGCGGTGTTCCTTCCAATTGTTTACCGAGATGTGTGTTAATCTCTGGCCCATTAATCTCCGACACGTCAGCCGTTATCCGAAGTAATAACAAGCTCTGCGTATTCCACAATTCTCATGATTCTTTATTCTTTCAGCGGAAGCTGGCCTAACCCGGAAGAATGGCGTGCGAGGCCGAGCGTCGGAAAACGAAGAACTGCGTCGGTCGCCTAGGCCGACTCGCGTCGCGACGTGTGCCGATTATCACGTGGCTGCCGAAATACAACACGGAGAAGTTCCTCAGCGACGCCATCGCCGGCGTCACGGTCGGTCTCACGGTTATGCCGCAGGGACTCGCGTACGCGACACTGGCTGGCTTGGAGCCTCAGGTATTACAAAAAAAAAAGAAACGACGATAAAAAGATAATTCATCGAAACAACGCGGAGCGAGAAATTGAATTTCAGGGTTCTACGATTCGTCGTTCGCACGGAGAGCGATCTCTCCGCTCTGTCTCGCTGAGCGAATGTCTTCATGCGAAATTGAATGAAGATTAACAATCTCAATAACAATAATAATATTTCTATCGCCGTCTCAGGATCATGTGTGCATTCTTTCCTGTAGAATTATTTTTTTTTTGCATTGTATTACTGAAATCGAGCGCTTAGAGCGCGAATAGCGAGTCTTGTTTCCGTTCTAATCGCTACTTAAGCCCGCCTTTGGTAGCGCCGCGATCAGTTCATATGTCATGAATTCGGCAGCCGCCGGTGAATTTTACGAGCAGCGCGGAGATTACTTTGTAATGTCGCGGTTTCACGCGCTCGTGTGGGCCGCGTTCTCTCTGCTTCTCGCCTCCTGTCTGGATTATATTGTTAATACGCGACGTTTGTTTCTCTCTTCCAGTACGGCCTTTACTCGGCATTCATGGGAGCGGTGGTCTACGTGATATTCGGCTCTTGTAAGGACATCACAATCGGTCCTACCGCGCTCATGGCACTAATGACTCACGATTACGTGCAAGGGAGAAACGCCGATTTCGCCATACTTCTCGCATTCTTATCTGGTTGTCTGCAGTTATTAATGGCATGCCTGCGTTTAGGTATGGCGCGGGTCAAACTAGCGAGAGAGTAGTGTGCGAAGGTGCTTTGACTTGAGCAAGACTGTTGGGGACGCTCGATAGAAAGTAATTCTCCAATGAGAGAGATATTGCCTATTGAAGCGCGCGTTAGCTGCGGAAACTGCGAAACGGTTATTTCTTTCTGCGGTATATAATACTTCACCGATAGTTTAACACGTTGATGTCCGTTGATTACACGAGAGCTGAACCCTGAATGAAATTGAATTATGAAAAATCCGATGAATAAATGCAACTCGAGACGCGCATATTTTTTACTTCGCTTCATCGGCTATGTATCGGCAAAGGCAGTGGAAGAAAACTTACGACATTTTTATCTTCGGAAAGGCAATCGTGAGTCTTTCCTTCTAGTGTGAACTCGTGAGAAACGGACATTCCCATACGCCTTTGAGTTGGCAGATCTTCATTTCTCACAAGGTTACGCTAGAGAAAAAGATTTGTGACCAACTTATTCGGTATCCGACAGAAAAATGTTTCTTCTGAGGATTACGAAAAAAAAACAAGTTCTATTGACACGAGGAGGCCTTGCGAAAGCCTTCGATAAAGTGTCGCAATCTCTTATCCACTTTATAGTCGCTCAATTATTCGAATTTGCTGTTAATTACACTTTCTATGTGGCCCAATGAAACACGGTGCTGTCATAGTCCGACGCGGTAATATTAAGGTTTCCGACGCTATTTCTAAATCAGCGCGTTGTTTTAATATGCTACTTAATTAATTATTCATAATTAGTATTTTAATTTTGTTGATATTCCTTCTAATTCATTTCTAATATTTTTATGTCTGCTAATTGACTTTTAATTATTCGCATATAATCATATTTCTTATTCGGCAAAATTTACTTACGCGAAGACCTGCGCGAGTTGACTCGTTGTGTGGAATAGAGAATCCCTGTCGCCCGCCGGCGATTATACGAGATAACTTTTATTTGCTAGTCAATATGTTAACGAACGCCATCGTCTCACGTCTAAAGAACGATCTTCTAGGTGTGCTCATAGACTTCATCTCCATACCGGTGACTGTGGGCTTTACGTCGGCGACGTCCGTCATAATCGTCGCTTCGCAGTTGAAAGGTCTGTTGGGCCTGAGAATCTCGTCGCAAGGATTTCTCGACACTCTGGCCAAGGTCTTCGAAAACATCGGCGACACGAGTTTCTGGGACACCACGATGAGCTTCTCCTGCATCGCGATCCTGTTGTTCTTCAGGGTAACGCACGAATTTTCGTTTCGGTTCAACGCCCGCGCGCTGTCTTATCGACATCGCCCCTCTCTCTCTCTCTCTCTCTCTCTCTCTCTTTCTCTCTCTCTCTCTCTCTCTCTCTCTCTCTCTGTTTTTGACGTATCTCGTGAACTTTGTAGAAAATGAAGGATATCAAGCTGTATACCGTCGGCAAGAAACCGAAGAACTATCAACATGTAATCGCAAAGACGATATGGCTGCTCTCCACAGCGCGGAACGCCATTATCGTTATCGTCTGCTCTGCCATTGCTTACAAATTTCACTCGCCCGAGACTGAGTCGTCTCCGTTCATTCTAACCGGCCCTGTGAGGTCCGGTCTTCCGCCCATTGGCCTGCCGCCCTTCTCCACGCGGCTCAACAATCAGACTCTTACTTTCACGCAAATGTGTTCAGAACTGGGCACTTCCATAGTGCTGGTGCCAATAATAGCGGTGCTCGGCAATGTTGCCATAGCCAAGGCTTTTGTGAACGGCGGCAAGGTCGACGCCACCCAGGAGCTGCTGACGCTCGGGATCTGCAACGTTCTCGGGTCGTGCGCGAGTTCCATGCCGGTCACTGGCTCGTTCAGCAGATCGGCGGTGAACCACGCGAGCGGTGTAAAGACGCCGATGGGCGGCTTGTATACCGGGATCTTGATTCTGCTGGCTCTCAGCTTCCTCACGCCGTACTTTTACTTCATCCCGAAAGGTAGCGACTTGGTTTCTATTCGTCATGCTACCATCGTTGCGATAAGGTGAATGCTTCAATTAGTGAGTTAGTAATATCGTTGTGAAAATAAATTAGTAAGTTGATAATACACATGTTGAGCTAAATACTCAAAGTTGATGGAAAGCTTGCTATTCCAACTTGCTGAGTGAGCATTTATAGTAATAATCATATTTATAAGATAAATTGGATGAATTTCTATAAAAAAAAAGGTTTAAAAGATATATAAATAATGGATAATTTTTGAAGGTAAACGACTGAAATTGTCATAAATTGGGACATTCACCTCAAACACTAATTTGTCATTGTCGCTTCGTCCTCTTGTTTTCTTTTTCAGCTTCATTATCAGCTGTGATCATATGCGCGGTGATATACATGATCGAATACGAAGTTGTCAAACTAATGTGGAGGTCGAGTAAGAAGGATCTCGTACCGATGTTCGTTACTTTCTTCTTCTGCCTCGCTATTGGCGTGGAATACGGTATCCTATTGGGAGTCGGCACGAATTTAATGTTTTTACTGTATCCTTCCGCGAGGCCTACCGTTCATGTCGATAAACGGACAGTGAGTAGCTCTGATCTGACGAGTGCATTGGCCTCCCCCTCCGAAATAATGTTTATTTTCAATTTAACATTCTGCCTCTGAATCTCGCAAAGTTCCATCAGGTTTATCGTGTGCTGCGTTTGTTGTAGACTGATCAAGGTGCCGAGTACTTGTTAGTCACTCTAGGTAACAGCCTGTACTTCCCAGCTGTCGACTTTATCAAACAATCGGTTGGCAACGTCGGCATAAAGCAAGGATCTAGTCAAGTGCCGGTTATCGTCGACTGCAGATACATTTTAGGGGCAGATTTTACAGCTGCTAAAGTGAGTATCCCGGAAAAGACGGTCCAGGCATCCTTAAGACAACGAGACATCCAAGGCTTGAGACGTGTTTTAGATATGTCTGTATTGCGTAGGATTCGCGAGAACCGAATATCTCACTAAATTAATGCAATCAGGCATCGCAAGTCGACTTGAAATCTTCATTCTGCCGTTTTTCCTGATGTAGGGTATGAAAACGTTAATTAACGAATTCAGTGATCGTAAGCAGGGTTTATACTTTTACAATCCACGATCGGACGTCGTAGCTGTTCTGAAAGGTGCCTGCGGCGACGAATTTCAGTACGTTTCAACTCAAGAAGAGCTCTCTTATCTGTTATCGACCATACAAGGTACTTGATTGTGAGACTAAACATGCATATAATATTCAACGTTGTAACAGAATGAAGAGAATGATATCGCTTCATTTCCAGATAAATCTTCGCAACAACTTCGTGAGCAAACGCACGACAAGTCGCTCATATCTATGGCGTTAAATAACTCGGAGATGGTACATCGGAATACGCGTGGTTCCTGCCATGACCTCAGCGAGGTCACGAGTACCCTCCTGCATGCAACCGCGAGTTGAACTTAACAAATGCGAATCGAGACTCGCACTCATCAAAGTTCTTACATCGTGATACTCTATTTATACGTGCATGTGAAATGCGTTTCCTCCTCTCTTCCCACCTTATTCAACCGTATACTTACATCGATAGGAGAATAAAGACGTTGAAGATTTTGTTAAACATATCTGATGTAATTGCAATCCTTATTTAACTGGCATTAAGTACATGAAACAATAAATTAAAAGCGACATTGTTTTGTAGGGATAATAAAGTCGTTTCCTAATGCAAAGTCTTAACCATTCTTATTTCTTAATATAACGAGTAATCTCTTGAAAATCGGGACGGTGTCGTTTTCTTCCGACACCTGATGGTCATCATTTCGTCATCATCTCCATATTTCTATATATACATATAATATGTAAACATTTTTCTGTCTCCCTCTCTCTGCCTCTCTCTACGCAATCTTGGTTGGCGCTTGCACTGCTATATATATATATATATATATATATATATGGTATACTGCATATTGCATATACAATCGTTATTTAACAAAGGGCTGTACCGTACAATGTAGTGAAGGCACATTAGAGGTCCATCACCAGAGAAATTATTTATCGTTAGCGGGAAACGTATTCGTTGTGTATTCGATATAAATGTGAATTATTACAACTGTAACGTCATAAAAATAATGTAAAATATTGCACTCAACGGATTGTCCTCGTTTTCAATCTCTCTCTGATACATCCAGAGTTCGGGTTAAATAGTTCTGTTAATCGTTGGCTCAACAACAAAAAATAACTCAATGTGACCAGAGCTACATTATTCTTGAATAAATTAAACAAAGATTGCCTCTCTCTTTCTCTTCCTATACGCGGATAGAGATATGGATGATACAAAATGATACACGGATAAAAACATGTGCGAATCGTCTGCGGCTCTCTTTCCTTCATCTCTCTTTTCTCTCTTCTCTCTTTCTCTCTCTCTTGTCCAGATAGCATAAATCCCTAAAAGATACCTGAAAGATGTCTAAAGGAAATAGCATTTCTCTCGGACGTTTGAATTTTAATGAAGGAATGAATTAATTAATCATTCATAATTTTGTACACCCACAGGAGATCTAAAAGAATGTTGTTGTGCAAATACAATTGAAATGTTTATGTTTTTATTAGTCTATGATATCGTTTGATTAGATAAAATTTTCTTACTGTTTTCTTTCAACATAAACATATATAATTGTATATAATTATCTATATGGCTATCTCTTAGACCAAGAGACGTATCTTTCGATATCTTTGAGATGCTTTGAGGACGTCACTTAGAGAAACTTGCACTTAATCGGAGCGATTATGCATTCAGTAAAGACCCGAAACGATGTCCGTGACCTTGCCGCGTTTTCCAATCAACGAGGAGGTCGTGTTCCTTCGGCCAATGGGGCTCTCTTTGACCTGCTGATTTCCCGAATATTTTCCCGCGTTAAAGCGGCTCTTGCCGAGACCGAAAGTGTCGTACGTCCGGCCGGCAAAGATCCCGGATTCGTTCGACTTGTTGTTGGAGAACTTGTTGCCGATTTTGTCCGTGTGGCAGAAGGAATTGTGCCTGATGCCGCTCTTCGACAATATCATAGGCGAGTCCTCCGGATTGATATCACCATTATTCCTCGCGTAATTCAGTTCGTTGTGATAATTCCATTCACGAGTTCGCTGTTCCTCATAGAGCTCGTCGCTCCGTAGCTGCTTATTGTTGTTGACGCGGTACTCGTCGTTCTTCAGACTCCTGGGCTTCGAGACGCAGCTCTCCCGCCGCGTCTGCTTCTCCAAGTCCGCAGAGTCATCGCAGAGGCTGTCGTTCCTGATCGACTTCGATCTCGTCAACTGTTTCTCGTCACGGAGCTTGGCCGCCTTCGATGCACGCTTGCCGTTCCATTGATTCTGTTCTTGCGTAATCACAATGTCGACCATCGAGTCAAGGCCCTCGTCGATCCTGTCTAAGGATTTTGTCAGCAGACTGGGCGATTTGGGTGCATCGATCGACCGCGGCCTCCTCGCGACGAGGGGCTCTAGATTGAAATCCGTGATATAAAAGAGGCCGCTATCGCTCTCCCCCCTCGACGAGCACTGGTCCTTCTTTGACACGTATGAGACGTGATGGAAAGACTCCGATCGACGCATCTTCGAGGTTCTGGAGGAACCATCGGTAGCCAACAGCAGCGGCGGCTGCTCCCGTTTGCCGAGATTCTCCGCGCCGTAGTGCTGTAAGCTGCGTTGCTCGTCGAAGGAGTTGAGACTCTCGAACTTCCTGATACGACACTCCACTCGGCTGCCCGACCGCCTCGATTGCGGACTGGACATGTTCGACTCGAGGTAATCGTGACTGGCCGAACGGCGCAGGTACTTCCGCTTCTCCACTTCGCTTCTGTACTTGGAGCTATGCCGGTGAGCCGTACGATGATCGGCGGATTGTCCGGAGGACGTCTCGTATCCTTTGGGACTCGGCTCGAACTGCCTGTATACATCGATTTGCCTGTTGAGTGTTCGCACATCGCTCATCATCTTCGACTTGGGCTCATTCTCGTAGCTTCTCAACGCGGTCTTCCTGTCCTTCGCATCGTTCTCGTCGAAGCGACGCAAGTCGTCTAGGCTCTTCCGGAACTTCGCGTCGACTTGGCTCGGCCCGATCATCAGCACAGTATCGCTCTTGGTCTGCTTCTGCGGCTGATCGTCGCTTGCGACCCTTATATGTCCGTCGTATAGCTGATGCTTGCCGTTGTATTTGAGTCTGGAGGCGCTCAGCAGCGAGTCGCTACCGTCGCCCAAGGTCTCCTCCTCCACCTCTTCGTCGTGAGAGTTGTAGATCTCTGCGTGGTCGGCGAAGTCGCAGTGCCTCGCGGCCATAATGGCCGACAGGCAAGGTGGGGTTTTTCGGGGCGGCTGCGGGTGTAAGATGGCCGGCACTATTGCCTCCTCTACGTCCGGTCCCTTTACGACGATCTTCACGCTGCCCTCCATCGACGACTTGGACATCCTGCGCGGTCCATCCGGACTCAGTCTTTTCGTGGCGCTCGAGTCGGTGCTGTAGTCTTGATCGTTGCCAAAGTAAGTCACCTGCTCGCCCTTCACCTGGCTCTGCGACGCGTTGGAGCTCGTGTGCGACCTCAGCATCCTCGAGTCTGCGCATTGATCCTTCTTCATGATCTTGTCGTATATGTAGCTCTCGGAGTGGTTCAGCGAGATCTTGGAGTTCGATCTGTAGAGTTTGTTCTTGGTGGACTCTTGCTGGTTGCGAACGACTTCCTGGTGAACGTCAGGGCCGCTGTTCGACGTCTGAATCTTGTCGCTGAACTCTTCCTCGGCGTCCTTCACGATGATCCTCAGCTCTTCGATCACATCGTCGATCGTTGTCTCTTGGTCGTTGCTCTGGGACGGCGAGGTCTTGGGCCGATTGCTGCGCGCTTGGTGCTTCGTATCCTCGGGGCTACTGGATCTCTCTGATGAGCTGATGCCTTCGTCATCTGCGTTCGACGACACTTTCGGACTTTTGACCGCAGCGACGACAGTGGCGGCGGTGGCGGAAGTATGGAGAGTCGCCGAGGTTTTCTCGCGCTCTTCCAGACTACGGTCGTTCCGTTTTTCGAGCTGTATCTGTAGAAGCGACATCTTCTTGCTAAGTATCCGGCAGGTCTCCTCGGCGCGCATCACTCTGCGCTGTAAGGCCTCCACGTCGACGCAGTTGTGCGTCCACTTTTGAACCTCCTTGTGCAGCAGATCGGTCAATGCGTCTTCCTCGTGCCCGTCGAATTCCCTTAACCAGTCCTGAAGAACCTGCGGCTCTAGGCCAGCTTCGCAGGCTTCAGCCTGGAAGTTAGTACATATATATATATATATATATAAATATGCGAAAAATATTAATATAAATATAGACAATATCGCCAATGTAACATCAATAATAAAATGTTAATGTAACATAAATACTTGTATAAAATATCAATAATACAGCGTTAATAAAATGATACAATGGGCTAATTATATATCTTCACACGTTGTACGACGAAAACAGAAGATGAAAGATAACTGTTTTCAGCTTCCTGTGATCATCCCCGTGATCATCTGAGATTAAGACATCAGAAGCGAAAGAAACATTCCCGAGAAAAAGACGTTGAAGTAAGAAGATATGTCTATGAAATGATGCAATTAACATGGCTGATGTACAAAACGAGATGGGAAACTTTCCCTCTGCTGCAATGATCAAGAAATAGTCATAAAGTTAATGTGACAAAATCACGTAGTCGAAAGGTGGGTCGTCACGAGTCGTAAAATCAACGTTACAGGATCACGCAGTCAAGAGAAGTAGGCCGTGTGTCACGTTAATTTTATGACTGCCTGCTGATTATCAGGAAAAGAGTTCTCGAAGTATTTTACTAAACCGCTCGGTCGATCGTAAGACTCAATTTATGGGCTATCTTCACTTCGATATGCATCGTCAGAATATCAAGAACGTATTTTCTCTCTTCTAATTTCTCACTCAATCGGGATGTACGTAGCGAAGAAGCAGGAGCCACAAACATTTCATTTTGAGTTCGCGTTACATGTATGTAAAAAAAAAAAGTTAAAAAGCCGGAATAAATATAGCGTCGAGCGTCGAGAATAGTCGCTCAACTTCTCACCTGAATGTACAGTCTGGTTTGCGTGCGGGGTGCGGATTTTAGAAAAGCGTTCAAGAAGGAGACACCCGCGACTCTCAGCGCGATGGCTGCTCGAGGGGCCAGAAGGGCGCCAGCTAAAAATCGGAATCTTCCTCCTTCGCCATACTTGAGTCTCAGAGTCGACACCGCTTCCGAGACAGCCGCGTGTCCACCCGGCGCTTGGCACACTTTCGTCAAGAGCTACAAACACATCGTTATTATTTAAAAATTTTAGATTTTTAATTTAATCAAAAATTTAATTTTATCCAGTAAGTTATAGATTTGTTGAATCACTCGGTTTCCCGAATTTTCTCGAGTTAGCGAGTTTTCAGCTCTCCGCTTTATAGCGCCGACAGGAGTCGATCGCTGGTCATTAGTGCGAATATTTGAATTATGGGAGGATGATAAATCGCTTGTGACAGTGCGATTAACGCAAATGTGGCAAAGCAATCTTTCACACACACATCGAACTATCCTATATCCCAATTGTTGATATTCATAATTCGCACTCTATATTTCTTCGCAACTAGTGGAAGAGGAATACTGTCTCAGCCTGGAGTCGAACTTGGACTTTCCTGATGCGAACCGACAAATTCAGTCGGGCATCGTACCAATTTGACTACCGAGACGTCGACAATATTCTCCGCAACGCAAGTGCTTATAAACCATATATCGGATGGAAAGTAAACTGACCGCTTCTGGCGGTCATTGTATTAAAGGACAAACTATGTAAACGGGCTTTCAGAATGCAAAAGCGAAGAAAGAAGAAGAAGGGCATGACGATGAATAGAAGACGATGTTTGGGTGTGCGAATATTTAATAATAATAACAATATTAAGGCATTTTCGCGACGTAGTCGAAATACATATTATCATTATTCTTATAATTATCCTGCCATAGTTTAAATGTTCGCACCAATGATCGGCTTTAACGTGGAGAGTCGTGGCGACTTATTAACACGGGAAAAGTTGGATCGAGTGTCTACGCAAGCCAATCCTATTACAACCAATCCTATTACAACAAAGGAGAGGACCTCTCGAGGTCCTCTCCTTTGTTTTCCTTCTCCTCGTCTTCACCGCGAACGGACGCGCGCATCTTTCTCATACGCCCGCGATTTTGCGGCACGATCGCGTGCCGTGGAAGTAATTATCCGCGTCGTGTAAGCGAGCGCGCTAATTGTACCGCGCGATAGTCGCTCGCATCCTGCGCGAGTCGGCGGAGTAAGAGAGAAAAAGGGAGAGGAACAAGCCCGAGACACGTGTAAGTTTGCAAATGAAGTCGAGGCGCTCGCGACCGAATAACGTTCGGCGGATAAACGATAAAAACTGGTTTCGACGCTGAGTACCCTCGAAATAACGGCCCGCGGGACCGGGCGTTTACTCGAAACGCGCGCGTTTACGGTTTACGCGAGCGAGCGCCTCCCGAAGACGCCACACTGGACCCATCAGAGACCGAGCCGGGAGAGCATCGGCTCACCGTGCGCGAGGCGAGTGACCCACTGCCGTTTTATTTCTCTCGTAATAGCCTGCCACTGTCCGTTTCCTTCCGCGACGAATCCGCGATGCGAGTCCAGTTTATCGATCGCCGCCGCCTTTACTGTTATCGCTGGTATCTCACGACTTCTTACGATCGATTTCTTCTCGCGCGCGTCCCGTAACTCACGCTGACGCGCCTTGCGGTTCGCGCGAACCGCCGCCCCGCGCAAGGCAAGGCGAAGATTCCCGATATCGCGGGGATCGCGACACACAATGGTGCGACGGGGGAGATTCAATGGGATTAACAGGATCAGAGAATCTCAGGGGATCAGGCGCTCTTCAGGCAGCTAAGACAGACGAACTTCACTGTACGAAGATGGTGGAGACAATTCTCCACTACATCCTTATGCCGGAAACGATCCTGCAAATCGTTTCATTTTTTCCTGAGGTAATCGAAAGATAGGGCAGGTGTCATATGATGCGGAGGATAAGTATAAGTAAGTTAAATTTATACAGTATGATGGAGAGGTCTTTTTGCAAGGAAGTGCCGACTGTTTTGCGCTCGAAGTTCTATATAAGGAGCGAATTGGTATTTAGAGAGAGAGAGAGAGAGAGAGAGAAGAGAGAATTTTAATATTATTTTTTTATCTTCCTACATTATAAGCGGACCGCGATAATCTTAATACCGATGAATTATTTTAACTTGTATAAAAAAAAGTTTTCCGAAATTCACTCGGTCGAGGTAAAAATTATCAACTTTCTAACTTAACATTATTGCTATTACTGTTTCGTTGTGGCGACAAGGACCGACATTTTCGATATGGCCAAAATATAATCAACTTTTGCTTATGTATTTATTTACATTCAATTTAATTCATCAATTTATCTTTTATTATTATCTTTATCTTTATTGTTAATTAATTTTCACCACTTTAATTTGTTGTCATTTCTGCCATCATCGAGTGTAACGATAATAACATCGATTTTTACGCTAAATTATAGTTTGGATAATACATTCAATGTGTGTGTGTGTGGCAGAACAATAGCCTTAAAGTCTGTCATCAGGCTGAACACATATAAACACGACATAAAATAAAAGAAATAAAATAAACGAAATATGAGTCATCTGCAGTCCGCCCGTAGATATCCGCATTTCAACGATCTCTTCGTTATAAACGACACATTTATCGCGCGAAACGGTACAAGTCATTCAGTCGCTTTCTCTCTCTCTCTCTCTCTCTCTCTCTCTCTCTCTCTCTCTCTCTCTCTCTCTCTCTCTTAGTTGCATTACTTCCTACAATTTCAACAAAGTCACAGAGTGAATATTTTCCAACGGGACCATTTTGCCATTCTTTCTCCGCAGCTCGTCCCTCTCGCGATGAATACAAAACGAACCCACCGCCAAGCTGCCCATCGCGCCAACCTGCGCCGGTCTATCTTAACGACCCGACGACAGCTACACATTGAATCGCATTTGCCAAGCTGAAGCGCACTCCCGGTAACTATGCGACCGTTTCTTTATGCGAATCCCATCGCCGCGGAGGGACGGAAGGAGGGAGGGAGGGAGGGAGGGAGGGAGGGAGAAGAATCCCGGCGTTATTTTTCGCCGCGACGCGTCGACGTTCACGACACACTCGCGGCTTCTAATCGCTTCTTTCGATCTAACGGTATCGCGGCGCTTTGCGCGTCCGAACGGAAGTGGCGATTGTTACCTGAAGAGCCAGAACCCGAGACCGGTTCAGGCTACTGGTCAGACAGACCGCGAGAGCCAGAAGGCCGGGCTGCGCCTGCACCAAGAGTCGCGGCGCGTCCGCGCAGCGTTCGCCGCACGCGGCCAAGCACTCCACGCACCCCAGCTCGTCCAAGGCGGCCCTCCTGGTGCCGATCCTGGGCCCGGTCTGTCCCGAGTTCGGCGGTGAGCTCTGGGCCAGCTGAACGCCGCGCAGGGTCTCCAGCAGCAAGGTGATCCCGTCCGCCGGCGGCGACGCGAATTCCTGCACGAAGCTGCAAAGGAAATGGATTTTTAGCTGGGACTTGTTGGAAGAAAGAGAGACTGGCTGCTGCTGGTGCAAAAATATCGCTGGCTTCGGCAAGTACACGGCCGTGACCGGTGTAGACGGCCGATGGGGATTTGTGAGTTTTTGGGCTGCTGCGGAAGATTTATTTTTGCAAAGTTTGAAAAAGTTCAAAAAAGAGATGGGAAGCCCTCGGTAGGTGTCTGAAAAATACGCCGAGCTGATGGGTTCTGTTTTATTCGTGAAAGTTATATCCTTCGAGATTTCGTACTTCGCGATTGTGCTTCATTCGGGCCAATTTAACACGCGATAAGTAAATCTCAAAGCCGTCCAAAGTTAGTGGCTGATAAGATATAATTATTTTGCAAGATACAATCGACGATTTTCGACGAAACGTATTTGAGAGATCTGAAACAACAACGCTATACACACAGCGATAGAAATCAATGCTCGCAGCCGTAGAGGAACGATTTTGTATGTGGCCGATCTTGGTGTAATTAAGTCAACATGATCAACGCGATATAATTAAATTAATCACACGGGCTCATATGCAACGGAAGCCGCGAGTCGAATCGCTTCTCCGTAAAACAAGCAAGAACTTCGCCGTCTCTGTCGAGCATAAAAGCGCGCTGCGAAAGAAGGGTCTTTCTCCCGTCAAATTAATGAACATGTCTCGCAAGCTTAAACTGTCTCGAATCACGAGCTGATTCGTCGCGATAACCGAGTTAATATCCGGCGATATGATCCGCTCGTCTTGCGAGCGGATTGACAATTGCTTCCGCGCATAATTCGCCTCGTCGCCTACCGGCTAACCCGCTTAGTCATAGCATTTAATTTCGCCCGGCGCGAACCGCAGGCTCGCTAGCTAAATCGACCGGTCGATTTTTCCCCCGCGCTGGATAAAGCAGCGAGGCGGACCGAAAGCGGTCTCTCCTCCCGGCGGGGAAACGAGGGGGGAGGAGGAGGGCAGCTGCCAAGAGGAAAGCGAACGATGAAGCTCGACAGATCGAGAGTCCGATCGCGATGCTGTCGCGCCGTTACACTTGGCAGTTTTATCGCGGAGACCGACGCTACTTACGCCAATGAGGACGAGACGGGCGAGAGTGACGGCGACAGGTGGGAGGATGGGGGAGAGAGAGGGAGAGAGAGAGAGAGAGAGAGAGAGAGAGAGAGAGAGAGAGAGAGAGAGAGAGAGAGAGAGAGAGAGAAAGAGTAGTGACATTCTCACTCTCCGCGGAAAAATCGGCATAAACGTCGTAGATATCAAAACACGACGAAAAAAGAACGGTAATTACATAATTACGGGTCTTCCCGCTCGACGAGAAAACCAATCCGGTTTGCGCGCGCGCGTGCAGCTCAGCGAGAGCGAGTCCCCGGCGAGATTGTCACCGTGAGAGGAGAGAGACAGAGCGGGAGGACGACTCCGATGATCGGATGAAGGAATCGATCATCATCGATACGGAATATATTAACAAAGACGTCTCCGGCAAGACCTGTCCGGCCGCTATCGTGATATCGTCGGCTACAACGGCGACGGCGGCGGGCCAGGTATCATTTATCGGAAAATGCTAAGAGCTACTGCTAGCGAACTGGACTAACAAGACCTCCCCCGCCGCCATCCGCGGCCATCGCTCACCCTTGAAAACAGGCCGAGCTTGAAAATGTCTGGCGCATTGAGAGCTCGAATAAGGTAACCCAGGATGGAGCGTCGATGGAGCGGATGTGCGAAGAGAGCTAAGGTTTCAATGCGCGAGGAGAGAGAGAGAGAGAGAGAGAGAGAGAGAGAGAGAGAAAGACTCTCTCTCCGGGAGAGTCACTCTCGGCGACACGCTCGCCGATTCTAACAGGGTGCGCGCGTCCGCGTAAATCGAGGCCTGCATTTCACCTCACGATCGATTCGAGTGTCCTCTTACCGCGACTCTGACTCATCATCGCCGGCGCACTCGAGAGCGACGGTAACGCGAGGTCGTTTCCCATTACGACGACCACTGTGCACAAGCACATGCATACATACACACACACACACACACACACACACAGAGCTCGCGGCTACGCGCGTTCGCCTTAAGGTAAACAGGTGCGAGGACGAGGAAGTTACACCTGTCACCGCTGACGAGCCCATAGTGAGCGAGCGATTTTTCTGCCGATCCTGCTGAAACCATCGCGAACCCGTAATCGCCGATCCTCGCTCTCCGCCGTGCGCCGACATGCGTGCGCGTGTCGGTTTAGTTTCCTTTAATTGCGTCGCACGAAAGGCACGCAACGGCACGTACGCATGGAAGAAGTCAGCAGCCCGCGCGTATTTTACCCGGGGATACGTAGCGCGGGGATACCGTAGTCCGGTAGACCGTGAGAAAATCGCCGCACAATGAAAGTCCCCGTCGTTCCCGAGGAAATCGCGGATCGCCTTTTTCAAGAGTGAGACGCGCTCCGAATTCTATTCCCCCCCTCGCCGCGGTCGCGTCGTCAGTGCCCAGCTACCTCCCGCCGACCCGCGTTGAAACGGAGGAAAAGGAGAGAAAAAGAGAAGGGGAGGAGGAAGGGGACTTTACGTAACAATGGTCGTCTTTTGAAACGCGCTGAAAATATTGGTAGAACCGCTGTTGAAATCCGCGCACTTCAGTCGTTCCGAAATTGTCGGTAGACTGTGACGGCGATAAAACTGCGGGGCGCATTTACCTGCATCGCGCAGTATTGTGGATGACACATGGTGACATTCATTAGTGACAGTCACAAAGAAGAAGCGCGATATAACCGATTGATAAAAAAAGGGCGTATAAACGCGACGTTGAAATTGTGGCCAAATTAACCACAATCGCGTTGGTTGGTTCACGAAATATCGCGAATTTTATCGAGAACTATTGCCAAAGTTCACCCACGGATGACGAAAGTGATCTTTGGAAGACACAGAGAATGCGATCATCGGCCTCTCGCGAGGACGGTACTCGGCGCCGCACGCTTCCTTTCGCACGAGGCGCCGCGGTTTCGCGCTACGCCAAATTTAGCGGCGTTCACGCCGTTGTCAAACGTTCGCGCTCGGCGAAGGACCAAAGAAGGACCATCTCTCTCGGCCGCGAGCCCGCCATTTACGGTATCGGAAGCGTTGCGCAACATTCCGTTATTCGACCAACACGTGGGGCGGAGGACACGCGTGCGGCCTGCTGCAAGGGCGGTGCGTCGTACTATTACGCGCGTATACCGTAAATCAAGGCGTGCGCAGGGGACGTCGCGTTGCGTCGCGGCGTTTTTCGGCTGACAAGATTCGCCGGCACGCCGCCGGTTATTAACCCGCCCCGCCGCGCCACACGTCCGCCTGGCACATTTTCGCGCGTGAGAACAATACTGGAAACGAACGCGCGGCGTCTTCATTCATACCTCATCCCGACGGGAACAATTCCTCTGGAGCGGAAGCGCAGTCGCCATTCGCCATGAATAGAGCGCGGCTCGTGGAGCGAAGGTTGCCACTCGCAACTCGTGGTCGCGACGAATGATTCTTCGGTTAATATTCAGAAATGACCGAAATTCACAGATATATTACCTTCAAAACCAGATAAAAAAAAAGAAGGTGTTCTATGAGCATTCTTAATCCGCTCATCGTGACGCACTTTCTTTCATTGCCGTCAACTTTCGAAGGCTGCATCTCGAAAAAGCGAGCTTTTGCGGATATGCTATTTGCCAAGACTTTTATATAAAGCTTTTATATTTATAAAAAACATTATTATTATTATCATCAAACATTCGCGCCATTCTGCGGCCGACAGTCGTCGACGCGAACCTCCGCGCGTTTCCAAGCCGAGGGCTCCCCTTTCCGAATCGAGCAACTTTTCCCGTTTCTCACGTTTCCGCAAAATGTTAATCGTCCAGAGCGTTAACGATGCTCGTCGAGCAGGAGAATGCTCGAGGGAGAGAGCGAGCGTTTCGAACGCGCGTCGCTCGGCGGCGCGCGGCGTGTTACGCGCGCGCCCACGCCCGTCACGCGTGTTATGGCGCATAATTCCCCGGAAAAAATGCTACTTGGAAAACGAGCGTTGTCGGTGCTGGGACTGTATAAACAGCGAGCCGCGGTGTACGCGCTCGCATCGCGCGGTGAATCGAATACGCGCGGGGGACATGCAAATAAGTATTAAACGCCCTCTTACACACGCGCTCGCTCGACGTCTCCCCGGCGTTTAAACGACAAAGAGAGAGAGAGAGAGAGAGGAGGGAGGGGGGCGAAGGGAGAAGAGACGGCGTTCTTCTCTCCCTCTTAACAATGGGTGCATTATGTTACCGGCGTTATTATGCATAATGCGGCGGGTATCGTGATACATCGCGCTATACGTGCACGAAATACGGCTGGTGGTACGCCGCCTTTGTTGAGCCGGCGGTGTCGTAAAAAAATGCGGCCCAACGACCGCATTTGGATGCGAGGAGAAAACGAGAGCTCCGGAGGACGACGAGAGTGACAGTGAAAGGGGAGGAGGAGGAGGAGGAGGACGAACGCGTCGGCGATACGAAATGCAAGCGCGAGTCGTCATGACGAAACGTCTCCTTGCGCGTGTTTTTTTTTCTTTCTTCCTTTCTTTCTTTCTTTCTTTCTTGTTCCTTTCTTTTTTTCTTTTCTTCCCTCCAGCGCAGACGTCAGTCCGCGGAGTGTACAAAGATAGACTTCGACCTTTAACACGCGGATATGGCTTGCGGAGTGTGTCTCGATGCAAATTCGCGCGCGTGCGCGTCTAAATAGCGGGCGAGTCGCTTTGCGAGAGAGCTTAATCCGAGAACAGAGAGGGAAGACCGATCGTCGAGCCGCTGATGGAACGAAGCGTAAGAACGTGTCGGGACCACGTCGAGCGCGTGATTGAAGGTCGGACTGGGCTCGCTGATCGCAGATCAATCCCCCCGCGAGAGAGCTTATCCGCTCACGCTGCGTCGCGGAGGAGCCGCACGGTAGTCTCGTAACAAGCGGTGCGTTTAGCGAAGGCGGACGTGAATGAGAGATAGATCGATATC